GGTGCGGCCGCCAGGGCAGGTTCCCTCATTAGTCACCTTCGAGCAGCCGCGAGCAACCCTTGCGGCACGACTGCGTCGGTGTCGGATCGCGTCTGTCCCCCCTGTGGGTGTCTCTGTGTCTGTTCCGGGCTTTTCATAACTCAGAAGTGATTAGGCTTACCGTCCACCCACACTGGGATGCCCTGCAGTAACTATGTTATGGAAGACGATCGCCTCCGATTTCTTTAAATTGCATTACGGAAACTGACTACCTAACCGATTACATGATGAAAGCAGGTCACATTCATGGAGGTGATTGGATTATAGTAGGTTAAATCGCAGTATGAAGGCGGCTGCATGACATGGAATTACAGACGCCAGTCAGATTGCATGATGGGAGGTAATGACATCACATCCCATTGCATGATGGGAGGTGGTCGCATCACATCGCACTGCATGATGGGAGGTGATCGCATCACATCGTACTGCATTATGGGAGGTGATCATATCACTTCCAATTGCATTATGGGAGGTGATCTCGTCACTTCCCACTGCATTCTGGGAGGTGGTCCCAGGCCATTGCATTATAGGAGGCGATTACAGTCCATTGCATGACAGTGACCAGCAAGCACACCACGTTTTGGCCAAAGTTAACACCCGAAGTTCACCACCACAATACGTCACAGTGCCAGGGTGTAGCCATCTGGCCCTCCTGGTGGTGAGGTGGGGGCGTGTCACCCACTTGGGTCAACAGAGTCCTCCCTGCGGGGTCTGGCTGACCTGCCACCAACCGCAGGACACACGAGAGGTGCCAGCTGCAGGGAGAAGGTGGAGGGGCTTAGCTCTTGACCCCACACGGCCCTGAGGTCGAGCCCACAGCCTGCGGCTCGGCTCTGCGTCCGGAGATGCGTCCTCCGGGCCCACAGGGCAGGTCCTCTGGGCGTCAGTCTGCCGGTCCGTGGAGGTGGGCGGACCCCTGCCGCCCCCAGTGGGCTCGGCTGCGGCCTGGGCTGTGGCAGTGCTCTCGGGAACGCCCCCTCGCGCCACCAGGCCCTGCAGGCCCCTGGCAGCTTCCTGAAGCTGGCAGCCCCGGGCGCACCCCGTCCTGTCGTTTCCCTGTAGAGTGTGAGAAGCATGGGAGCGCGGGGGCCTGGCCGACGGCTGTGTGCATAGCTCTGGGGTCGCTGCTCGGCGTTTGGCTTGCAGGGCTGCTCTGCAGGAGGTAAGAGCCGCGGGTCGGGGCGCCGTGTGCACAGGTCTCCGGGGCGGGTGGGAGCGCTGCCCTCCGCGGGGCCGCACTGCGCAGGGGTCAGTGCCCGGGGAAGGGCCCCGCCGCGGGCTCCCTCCGCTGGCCTCTGTGTTTGGGCCAAGGCGCACCCCCGGCTGCGGTGCTCAGGGGCGCAGGGGAGCGCTTCACCACCGCGCCGCCAGCTGCCGAACCCCGAACCCCTCTTCCGCAGGTTCTCTGTGATCCACAAAGTCTTCCCCCCCATCCCTTGGGTGAAAGACCCCGTCAGGGACTTCTTCACGGACGACAGGCTGGTGCGTGGCTGGGCCTTCCGGCCTTGGCGCTCGTGGGCCTGGGGGTGGGGGGTTCCCTGGCCGCCAGGCGGTGACGCTGGTGGCCCCGCCCCGCGTGGGTGCAGCCCTTCGCCCGGGCGGGGTCCTGGGCCTGGCAGCACCCTCTGCTCTGTTCTGGGCCACAGATGCCCGCACTCACGCCGTCCTCGTCCCCGCAGGTGACATGGGAAACGGGCCCGGCGAGCTGGCTAGACTGCCCGGTGGAGACGGTGCGGGCCGTCGCGGAAACAGGAGCCCCGATGGACGGTACCGGGGAGGCGGGCCGGCTCCCACCGCTGCTCAGCCCAGGACAGCAGGGCGGGGTGCACGGTGCCCCCAACACACTGTAATCCCTCACCCCGACGGCTTGTGTGGGGTCCTTCGGGAAGAGGGTGTCCCGTGACGTAGTCTGTGCGCTGTGACCAGAATCCACTTCTCAGACAGGAAGTCCAGTCCCACTGGACAGGTCCTGACGCCACGTGGGGACCCCCCAGGAGCCAGGAAGCTGGAGGGCCTGCCCTGAACCCCACCTCCAGCCTCCAACTGGGAAAAAGGCCATTTGTTCATTAAAGCCACCCCCTTGTGGTGGGTTACAGCAGCGCTAGGTCACGGGGACCAGGACCAAACCTGGTGTGATCTCTGAAGTCCTAATGAACCGCCAAGGCCACCCGCCCTCCGGGCTCCTTACCAGCCCCGCCCAGCTGCCCCAGCAGGGAACCTGGGAGAGCCGGCACTCCCCGGGGCCGCCTGGTTTGCTGGGTCTGGAGTTTGCCGCCTTTGACAGGGGCTGGCCTTTCCCGCCCCCTTCTATTGCTCCTTTTAGTGGAGGCACTTCTGGGCAGGTTTCCGTCCCATGTGGGTCCTGGCCCTCCCAGGTTCTGCTGCCTGTCCCTTTCTCTGTGAGCACCTGAGACGGTTACGTGACCAGAAAACCCACTTGTGGTGCAGTGGGCCGACCCCTGGCGCCTGGTGGAGCGCTCAGGGC